AGACCCTCACCGCTCAGAAGGGTCCGCTACTCCCTGACAGTGGGACGTTACCAACGCTCAATGTATATTCTCTCAGTGTTTCACTGTTGTACGGATTGGGGTGAGGAGCAAGGGGTAAATACACCCCCGACATCGTCTCACCCTCCTCAAAATGTCCGACTAACCCACACTCCTATCAGCCTACGTTGTTTGGAAGGGACCCTACAACTACCATACTATTTTCTCTTGAGCATCTACAAAAACATTTACCGCAAGCTAACTATCCCGTCAGAGTTATTTTTCTTTGTTTAAACATTTACTCCGACAAATTTATCGAAAATAAAAACAACTAAACTCTTAAAATATCTCGAGATAGAAAAAGAAACTTGTTTTTGTTTGGATTACAAGGTTATCAATAATTGATGAAAGAAATAGCGGTAATCGTTTTAGTAGTGAGTTAGGTGCGTTTGATTAATCGAAGGTATATATTTTGTGAATGTATGCTCAATTTCACTAACCAATACTCGCTCGGGCGTTTACTCAAGCATTAAACATCGGAAAGCCATAAAACTGGCTAAGATCAACAAAAAGACGAATTTATTGGATGTGAGAAATAATAGCGGAGATAAATTAAGGAATAGAGAAGTTTGTAATGGTGTTTAAAAACATCGAACCCATTTTAAGAATTTTAAGAATTGATAACATTTAAATTATACGAATTTAGTTTTGATGATTGCTAGTATGCTAGTATGGAATTAAAAGGGGTTTCGTGTTAATCCCAACAATTATTTGATAACCACTGGTGTTATCCCGAGAAAGGGTATAGCTTTGTTTCTGGCTCTGTGTTTCTGTTTCGAAGATCCCTCGACGGCTGTAACAACTTTTGTGAAACGAGTAGCCGAGCGGTGTTATATAGCGTGAGCCGAGCGAAGCGCGTTATTAAATTTTTAATGTGTCTAAAGTTGGTACAACTCACCGCCCTCTAGGTGCTGAAACCAACGATTCATCCCCTTTGATAAAACGGGTAAAAACCGGTGAGATAGTTCCCGAGCAGAACAAGGACGGAGTATCAAGAAAATAGAAGATATAGTCTGGAGAATGAAGAGAAAAGAAGAAAAGGTCATGTCTGTCGCAATAAATTTATTAATCGCTTCCAATTAAACCGTGGCTCTCAATCGTAATGTTTTCTGGGCTTGCTAAGGATCAATTGTTTTCTTGAAAGTGATACTCGCGGATCAAGTGTAACTGGAATGCAGCATCATCAAGAATGTCCTTACCTCTTTGTTGAGATTTTTTCTCTATTGTTTAGTCCTCGTGGCTTATGGTGCTGGTGGATGATGTCACCGAGGTGTTGGATGACGAGCAAGTATTTACTTGGTTTAGAAGACGATACATTGTTTATGGGATAGAAAAATGAATTTGATTAGTCACAGTAGATCATATTTTCAAGGCTCACTGTAATGAGGATTTATCAAAGCTCCCTAAATGGCTGTTAATACCCGAGGTTATGTTCCGTGAGAATAAATTTCGAGGCTATTACAGTGTGCTTCGTCATTGATTTGTAAAAATTGCAACTACTGGAGTTAAGTCTAGAGTAGTGTGCTTTTTGTTTTACCTCAATTTAACCTTCAATTAAAACGTTTTTCTTATCTCGGTAGTCGTCCAAGCTCTTTATTTTATACAACATCATATGACTACTCGAGTACAAAAGAAGAGCCAAGAAAAAAGATTGAAGAAAAAGCAGTTAACATTAGTGTTGCTTTGGATGGTTATATGTATATATAAATATAAACTGGACAAAAAAGCAGAATCATCTCTTGTTCCTCTGGAGAGATGCGGTTATACACATTTCAGGGTCGTTAGTCTTGTATTCGATGAAAAATTCATTGGATCGTTCGAGTGCCATATTAGCCGTTGTCGCAAACTACGAAAATGGCGGGATGCCTGCTGCCTGCTTTGGGAAAAACTGGAGATTATAAGTCGCCGGACCAGTCTCGAGAAAGAGGAGGAGGAGGATTGAGTAGTGTTGTATGGCTCGCGTGTGACTTGTTTCATCAAGATCTGGCCTTGAATGTGTGGAAGGGCGTATAAACATATAATACTTTTATACTTTTATATAGTATAATATAATAATAATAATAATAATAATATAAGGTGTCTTTTACAATAAGACCGATAGATATTCCCATAATCCATAAGCTAACGGCTGTAATTGCTGCGGTGTATCGTATCAAGGTCGACGGCTTGTAGTATATCGAAAATATTTATGGATATGTGTCTATAAAAGCAGCATAATCATCAGAGCGCTGGGTATATATTGATATATGGATGTTTGTAATATTAACGGTTTATATGGGTAATCTAAAGAGAACAAAAGACAGTTAACAAGAGAGAAAATATTGAATAAACGGAAACAGTGTGACAGGTTAGCATTGTTGGAAAAAGGCTGGTGATAAAAGTGTCAAACGAAATGCTCTGTCCGACGGCGACAAACTAGAGACCAACACAATGGCCGCCGTTTGGACGCATGAGATTACGCGCCATCTATAAGCGTCCCATTCGTCCATGCATGTATGAAACAAAAGCGTGTGATACATGACACTGTGTTTAAACCTCCCGACGAATATTTCATTCCCTTTCTCTAAATACTATTTTCCCGGTAAAATGTGTTGTTACCTGAAAAAAAATGCGTAAATATCTGAACTGGCAAACAAATTTAAGCTTACTGATTAGCGACATTCAATAATAGCATTATTGTTAATTTCCTTAGGCTAACAATGATCAATTACCCTCATTAGTCATAACGTCATAATCCTTTGTCTTGAGTATCTCATTTAGTTGGTACTCACCAGAAAATAATCCCGGGTGAATTCTTTATCGAGTAGAGAGACTGTTGAACTCGACGGTAACCATTTGTTCTTGTCGTCGGAATTATTCTGTCGGTTGACCGTCGTCGTTAATACCTACATGACGTCTTCAGTCCGTCAGATAACAAGACTACATTGTAACTTCTAATTAGCGTCATACAAGTTAAAATATGTATTACACAACGGTTTATAAATACACTTACGATGTTTTAGTCCTGCCAAAAATGACGACAATAGGCTTGATTAAAAGAAAACTAAAGACCAGAATGACATAATGTCCGTTCATCTTGAGGAAAATCGATTAGACTAGTATCAAATGCCCTCTCTATCTCTCTTTCTCTTTTCCTCCGTTGGGTGCAGTGTTACGTGAACGGCGACAGGCAGTCTGGCCAGTTTGCCTCCTTGGTGGCCAGTTTGTTACCGTCCTTCTCAAGCAGAATAGCCTTCTCTCTTTAATGCTCAGCGTTATACACCTTCACCGGGTTGACTATGTTCACTATGTTCACTGTGTTCTGCGTTCTCTAAGTTACCAGTGGGCGTCGCGTACACTTACCCAGCTACATAATACAGAGCTTAGTATGCCAGGGACTAGTCCTTTGTGACTATAGATTTCAAGTATTAGTTTATACCTCTCAAATGAAATTCTCAGGCAAGAACACCACTGTATAATCCCTTTAGTATTAAGGACCAAAGCGTTTCTGTTATTGACAAATATAAGGTGATTCACAAATCGAAAAGGACTTGCAAAACCATCAACCCAATATGTCCTTAGCACGTGCGTCGTCATTTAATCCCCTACGACCTGTTGCGCAATTTTTCCTTTCTTTTGCAATGATAATTAACAATTGGCAATGATGATTAAAATTGTAGGACTTTTTGGTGTGTTGATATGTCAAGTGGTGTTGATGTAGACTTTAGAATCAAGGGCTCTCACGCTTCTGTCCTCGACAAATCCTCAACTAAACTCAACTCGGTAAAGTCTTACGCGTAATGCTAGTGTTTACTTAACGACCACAACTTCAAACAAAACGTCCCGGTTTAAAGGAATAGCACGGAAATACCGAAGCTTAAGTACAAATACATATAATCCACTGTGTTTTTCTCTTTTGCTTTTGCTTTAGCTGTTTTTGCCGGCACTCTCCCACTGGTGCTTTCTATATACATGTATGTGTGTGCTGGATTTTTTAAGTGAATTTATTTTTGACCGGCTCACGTTCGTCTTTTGTACAATCTTACCAATAAGACCAGTACAGAGAAACAATAAAAAGAGTTACAACTACAAAACGTATTTCTTCGGGGCTGGCTTATGATGTCTAGACATCTAACCAAGTATCAATATACGCTGGAGCAGAAATAGTAAATCATAATAAATGCATTTATGATAATTCATATTGTAAGATAATAAATATTAAGTTCCGCAATAAGAAAATTTCTTTGTCTACAAACGGAGAGTGTTTCAGTCTGACTCTGGATGATATTATACATTAGACGCTGTAGTCTAAGATGAATCTGTGGGTATACATTGATATAAAAGAGAGAAAGAGAGAAAGAGAAGAAACTGGTGGGAGAGCCACTTGGACCCCAACAAGCATCAGCAGTCTCTTTATACAACAGCAGAGTTAAGAGTTAGCCAAAGCCAAGTATCCGAGTAATAAAACCAGTCGCCTCAGTACCAGCGACGAGCCAGCTGCCCGTTACCTTCTAATTCGCTGGCTTGTCAACTCATGCGTCTAATGTTCGTGATAGTTTAATTGTTTTTTATCTCCTGTCTCTCATCTTTCGTACAGTGCTTTCATTAAACAACAAACACAGTGTTGGATGTTACGTATATATGTATATAAAGTGATGAAAAGGGTGTATACATTATAAATTGCACATTAGACATTATTGAAGAAATTAGAGATCTACTGGCAGCTTTAATGGTGTCAAGGCAATGCTCTCCAATGCAATCAATTGATTGTCAAACGTATTGCACCAGCAAAAAACACAACCTATAATTCATTTGATCGCTCGTGCCACGTTCGTGCCGAAGCCGACGCATTCCTCCGTCCTAGGACTGGGAAAGCTGCTTACAACTTGTAGTGTTATGCTTTTTTTATCAAACCAATTGATCGGCATTCCTCATGCCGCCGTTCATTCACGGTGAATATTAAAATGGACATAAGCTTCAAGCAGGATCCCAACTTCAAGATGAACCAACAGAATTTCAAGCTGAGTGATTTTGGTGTTGATACCCATCGATTCAACGCTTACACCAGCAAATCCAGGATGACACCTAGTCCTCGGGGATTCGCCAGTGGTGTTCCTTCTCCAAATTACTGGAAGTGCGGTCAGGAGAGCGGGGTAACTATAAAAAAAACACACAATTATAGCTTCTGTATTGTTCGAATAGTGTTTTCTTAGTACTCGAGCTGGATCCTAGCTTTGGTATGCAACTACAAGTTTCATCTAATACCCCCAGCCATCGTGCTACATACTAATTAGATTAACCGTACGTGCTTTGAATCATTTGAAACCATAAACTGAGGGTGAATCCGTCCAAGATAAGAATCTCTCTCTATCTTGAAATACAAGAAATTGGTGTGAATTGGAGGCTGGATCATTCCTAATTCTGTTTAGCGTTATTACAGTAATTGGTTTACTGGTTAAATCCGTTTAATATATAAAATCGTTAAGCTTTGAAGGAAAAAAAAGTCTTGAGCGAGAAATATAATTAAAAACTAGTAACTCTAGGGTGTGGTAGTGTATCCGGGATGTCATTTATATAATTACAATTTAGTTAATCCATAAATTGTCTTTTTTAAGATAATTAAACAAAGGTTGGAAGAAAAAGCGGTTGCTTGGGGATTGATAAAAAGACACTGGTGTTAAGTGTTTAAGAAAGAGTTGTAGTTTTGTAGAAGGTGGAAGGAGGAACGTCCTTCGCCAGTAATTGCACCAATTAAGGCTATTAGGAATATAATAAATCCTGGAAAATGCCCAGCCCTCTTGATAAAGTCTAATAAACGCCTAGCGAGGAATCTCCGCAGAATCTCAAACTGCTGGAATTCGCGGTTATTTATTTAATCTTCTAACTAGAGGACTAAACTGAAGAGTCAGGATTGATAGCAAAAGCCTCTTTCTCTATATAATTCGTTTCATCAGACTATAATTGATCTGTGAACAATTATACTGATTAGAATCTGATTATCCAGCGGCTGGAACGTCAACCGGAGCAATTACAATTATGAAATACTAGTTTTTCCTTAGAAACAACTTGTTTAAATTACAACACTGCTGCGCTGCATTTAACAACCTAAATATGATATCTAATATTATATTAATCATTTATTCTTAACGTGACACACCTAAAACGTCTAAATGATCGTTTATAAATGTCATCCGATCAACAAATTAATTAGTATCATTGTCATACCGATCACGTAGATTATTGCTCGCTAATTGTCGGTTATATTTCTAGCGTATGGATGTGACTGAAAGGTACTATCGTTCACTCACTTACACGCATCAGCAAAACTCAATACAGACAAACGATCTGATAAATAATGTAGGCGATGACATTTATACGCCCGATCAACGTCCACGGAATTGTATATGCACACCTGGATGCGCCGTGACAAGCACCACAAACAACAAAACGCTAACCCAAGGTGCTAATTTATTGATACCAACTTTTTATCTACATTCTTGAGCTTCCGGCGGTTCCTTCCGATGCCAGTGACCGCTGAGAGCTTCTCTGAGACCCTGCCAACAAAAGTCCACCTCTAAAATTAGACTTTTAAATATTGTAACCACTTAATCTCTTTGTTTTAAAATTTATCATTATATTTATAATTATAATCTCTAGTTTAGCAACAGGATCCAGTGGCGTATTGGGTGTCATTGATACCAAATACTTAAATTAAATATCGTACAGTCACGGGGTTTGTTTTAAAAACATTTATAAACCGTTGAAGCAATAGCATCATCAATGTTTTGATTACCATCAGTTTAGCATGAGAACGTCTGGATAGGAGCCTGAAGCTAAAACTAAAGAGAGAGAAAGAGGGAGTGTCTCTACGAAATTCAATCTCTTAAAACAATATAGATTATTATTATTCCTTTAAATTTACTTTTAGCTTCTCAAATATCCTTCTGTAAGCTCTGCTGGGATTGTTGTTTTAATACAACCTTTAATTACACAAACATCATTTATTATATGGATTATTTATGTATTATCCACATTAGTTTCTCCATTATCCATTAGCAATACTACTTCTATTAGTAGGATATTAACAACCAACGGAAGCGTTCGTTTCCTTTATTATCACCGATGCTTTGTGGTCTATAATTTATTGCATCAAATGTTGGTACAACTTGCACGTTATTCCCAACAAAGAACTCTTTTCTTAACAAATTCTTAATTGTCGCAAGTTCATACCCGCATAAGTAACCAGGACACCTGTCTTACATGTCCTATGTCCTGAGATCATTTAATAACACATTTAATATTCGGACGATCGGAAGATAGTAATAGACGTTACTATCTAACTATGAGGGTTCCCACGAGGACACCTGGACAATAATTATTAATAGTCATCAGGGTCCACGTGTGTTATTAATATTGTAAATTTATCCATTTTTTGGCGCAAGCTACAGCTAAATCAATCCAGACATTTTTATATTGCTTGGAAACGCTGACGCGGTTAGAAATGGACAGCACGGAGATATTAAGATTTCTGATCCACTTGCTGTACATTTTTCCTAAAAGGAACATAAAATATGAAATATCGTCCAGCCTGTGACGTATTCTCTATTTTTTTGTCAATTCCTCCCTCGATTCTGAGCGAACAAAGGGTAATCTGGTTTACAACAAATTTACAAATAACAATTCCTTTGTTCTGTCCGATAACTGTTTGTTTATCGAGACCTCATTGGGAATTATCTCCTCAGGGCTGAATTCTAACTCGGGAGTCTATTATCTGATTTTTTTTCCGTCATATTTATCTGTTGAACTTCCGCGTTGGAAATTCAGGGCGATCTAGCAATATAGAGCAAGCAGATGGAGCTTCACCGCAACTAAGTGCGAATATAGTTAGCTTAACGAAATGCAATAGTAGATGGAGATCACTTGGAAGCAATTCATTAGAATTAATACCAGATATCTTTGTACGTTCTTAACATTTTTTTTTTATAAATTATGCTTTATATTTACGCAAAGATTTATTAACAGGCTTATCGCGAGTACTTTGTATCGAAGCAATTTGTTTGTATAGTTGTTTCTGTAAATTTTTTAAATATAACTACATTTTTACACTTACTAAAACACTAAATTACATTGTAGAATTGTTATACCGATGATCAAGAATCCTATTGGTCAAGAAGTAGCCCCCACTTTTCTCTTCGGAAGCGACGTCTTGCGCTTGGCGTGGTGTATCGTCAAAAATATGGCCGCAGTCGATCTTCATCCACGCGGTTGTGTCCCTCGCTTATATTCCTTTGCCAAAGGATAACTTTGCGTAATGACAGTTTAATTATTTATCGATTTAACGATACAAGCTTATAGCTTATAGCTTAAAGCTTGAAAAAAAAAGAAAAGATAAATTGACATTAAAACTAGTGCAGTGAGTAAAGGAGGAACGAGCAAAGTAGTTTGAATTCCAAAAGGGTAAACTGTCTTGAGGGAAGTTTCCTTCAATTTTAGTGGATTCTCGCCAGGAACGCTAAACGTATAAGTTCGACGTTTCTTTCATGGCCCGAGAACCCGTTAAATTCTCGAGTGCCGGAATGGCATCGTCATCGTCCTCGCGTTAGTCTTGGCTCTCACACCACCGGTTTACTTTTCTCAACGACTTAGTGTTCAGAAGGAGCTAGGAGCTAGTAGTCTTTCGGGATTCCGGGTTCGAGGAAGGAAGCTCAAGACGAAGCTAGATTGCGAACAAGTGAAACAGAACAAGTGAACGGGGCAAACTTTGAGCCCAGCTTATAGATATAATACAACACTCCAGCACTAATACACTTAAACAGTGAATAAGAAACTTGAGAATAATTTACCATACGTCTCTGTTTACCATATTACGTTAATTATGTTTGTCTGCCATTCCGATTATGCCAATTTTAAGATGGTACTAAGACCAGATCCATACCAAATTTTTGATAGACCAAATCATCTAATCTAATCTTTGTTCTTTGTTTCAGTACGGCTCAGACGAATTCGGCCAGGACTCTCCAAGGTACACTTCGCCGAAAGCAACCACCCTCTACGCGGAGCCCTACTATATCGGTAAGAGCTATTAAACCCATTAAACAACCGAAAGTAGTATTATGATAAATTTCTTTAGTATCAGCAAGAAAAAGAAACAAAGTTTTATCAGAGTTTGTATTAAAAAATAGCGCAACTTTAGGCGAGTTGGTCCGACACGAAATTACATAAAGCAAAGTATCAAGAAATACGTTAAAGCTTATTGCTGTTGTTTCAAAGAGAAATAATGGCCCAAGCCCAACCACCCGTTACTTTTTCTTTATCAGCTACACCAGCACACGTTACCAATTACTTAATTTACCAGTTTGTAAATACCATTCAAATACTGGGTATACCACGTGTCGACACGTGCTGCTTCAAGTGATTATTGTTTTAACTCGTTGATTTTATCATTTAGACATACAAATTTCGGTGCAATGAAGAAATATTCATAAGTTCTGCTATTTCGAATTGTTCCTTCAGTTTTAAGGATAAAAAATGTCTCTATAATAGTATAATTCTCAAGAACTTGGACGGGAATATTTAAATAAATATTCAGTGCTAGATTTTTAAATGTTGCAACGCTTCGTTGTATTTCCAATTATTATTAAACAATATGATCAGATTAACAAAATAATTTAAAAAAACTAATATTTTTGTAAAACGCATAGTTGCGATACAAATAAAACTCATATTCATCTACTCACGGATTCTGACTTTTTAGATGGAAATTCCGCGGGAACGGGTCCAGGGGATCCTTGGAATGGAAGTGGAGTTCAGCCACCGTACAGCGGATATGCTCCTCCACACCTGGCACAACCTGCCTACCCTATGCACATAGCACACGACCCCATGGTAAGTCTTTCTTTCTTTCTTTTTTTCTATTGAGATAGGTTAGATTAGTTTTGGGATTCATCATCTCCATTTTTAACTAACCTGTTTAATTAATTAAAGAGCAGTTTTAAATTGTAAAAAGAGCCAGTTCTGGAAATGAAAGATGGTTGGGAATCACTGATGACAGTGTTGATGGCGGAATACGGCAAATGAGTCACGGCCGCTATATATAGAATTTTCAATCCTCCACCTCATTCTGTTAAAGCAGCACCTCATCCACCTCCATGGCACTACAATATAATATGTGTTCTAGTCAAGTGCACGCGTAGCGTCCATTTGATTTACGCTATCCACTGATACCCATCACCCAGTGCACCCTAGTCCCAGCAACCGTATCACAAACTATCACTTAACATTCGTAATTAATTCACATCAATATGATAATGCGAGCAGCTTCTATTGTTATTGTTACTGCTATTACTATGCACAACAATTATTAACTTATTAGCAGCAGACTGTTTGTTACTAATAAATTAGCCACTTGCTGGATGAGCATACACGGAAAAAAATAAATAGTAAATGCAACATAATGCAGTCTTGGTAAATGAACATGATGAAATCATGTTGAAGCAACATGATTTGTCATGTTTCGGCTACATGACAATCATGTTGCGGTAGCATGAACTATGCACAACAATTATTAACTTATTAGCAGCAGACTGTTTGTTACTAATAAATTAGCCACTTGCTGGATGAGCATACACGGAAAAAAATAAATAGTAAATGCAACATAATGCAGTCTTGGTAAATGAACATGATGAAATCATGTTGAAGCAACATGATTTTTCCCCATGCTACCACAACATGATTGCCATGTTTCTGCAACATGACAAATCATGTAGCCGAAACATGACAAATCATGTTGCTGCCACGTGATTTTTCTCATGCTACCGCAACATGATTATCATGTAGTTGAAACATGACAAATCATGCTAGCGCAACATGATTGCCATGTATCCGAAATATGGCAAATCATGTTGCTGCCACATGATTTTTCTCATGCTATCGCAACATGATTGTCATGTAGCCGAACATGACAAATCATGTTGATGCAACATGACAAATCATGTTGCTGCAATATGATTTCATCATGTTGCATTTACTATTTATTTTTTATTCCCTGTAGCTAAAATAACCTCCAACATTATTTCGCAGTATAAACCTAGCGTAATAAAATAAATCTAATAAAATAATCTAGACTTTGAACACTTCTCTCAAATGTTTCTAATAAATTACCAGTTATTTTAATCTCCATTCCTCGAAAGCTAAATCGTAATATTTCCAAGTAAATCTTTAATTAAATCGCTCTTAGTGAAACTGCATACCTCTGGTTTGTTTTCTTTTGGTTAACACTAACAATCTTTCAGTCATACTCGGCGATGTCACCCAACGGAGAACCACCAGCCCCAATCCTTGGTTCCACCGTGACAAGTGCCGCGTCTTTACCCCCAATGTCCACCTTCAGAGGCAGCACCGCGGTTGCTGTGTCCGGAGGAACTGGAGCACCTTCTCCAGCGTCGTTACAGTATAATCACAGTCCTGGGGCGCCTGCACCGGCACCCACTACTGCCAGTGCACAGCAAAATCAAACTACCACTGCTGATAGTCTAGGAAAAACACTTGCGTCTGTAGTAAGCACACGAGTATGTTTATCATATTCATATTTATTTTTTACTGTATTTTTAGTTAAGGTCATCTCTATTTACTTACTTACTGATTGGGTAATTTTTTTTTTAGATCTATCCGACGGACCAATCGGTATCCAGTTATAGTAGTAATCCCTCGACGCCAGTCAGTTCCCCGCCACCATTAACAGGTTAGTTTTTTTTTTTTTTTTTTTTTTTTTAATTATTATCAGTTTAATATTTGAGAATTATAAAGAAACTACTTAAAATTTCTTAATATATATTTTTTTAATTTTAAAAATCATAAAATTTTTTTATAATCTAAAAATAAAATTGATAAAATGCTCTATCTCTAGATACATAATTAAGAAATCACCTTGTATCTTGAGAACTATTGACATTTTTGAAGATATAAGCTCATCCCGATGTTATGCTCATCGAGATCTTTCATTTGAGTACCCACATCAATTATTCATATATTTTATATATTTATATTAAAAGGTCTCGATTAGTGTAATGTCAGGATGAGCTTATATCTTTAAAAAAATGTCAATATTAAAGAAAGTACAGGACATTTTAACAAATATTTTGTAAACTATTGACATTTTTAAAGATATTAGCTCACTCTGACATTATATTTATCGAGACCTTTCATTTGAATACCCACATCAATTTTTCATATATTTTATCATATCAAAAATGCATGTGGGTACTCAAATGAAAGCTCTTGATGAGTGTAACATCAAGATGAGCTTATATCTTTAAAAATATCATTAGTTTACAAGTTACAATGTAATTTCTTAATTATTGACATTTTTAAATAAGGCAAGAATTATTAAGAATGTAAATTAACAGTAAATATTTTTCAGGTTCAGCCCCGAGTTGGGCGCCAGGTGCGACACCAGTCTCCCCGCACTTCACAGCGGATCCAAACCGCGGTACAATCCACATGGTAAGTTGTTGATAACCAAAGCTTAAAAACTTATTGCTTTTATAAAATAATTGTCTCACCATTCAGTGTCATTCACACGCACTAGTTATCATTGACCGGGTACTTTTACATATTTATTTATTTATTACCGGGTACTTATTACTTATTAATTACACTTGAAACATTTAATTATCACAGACTGGCTTAAATGTACAAGTTAAAACAAAGCGGCGCTTAACAAATTATCCGCATGTAAATCGTTTAAAACATTTACAATTAATTATTTATTTATTAATTTACAATTAAAAAAAAAAAAAAAAAAAAAAAAAAAAAAAAAACATTTTATTTAATAATTCTGTGTTGTGTACGTTGTGTTTATTTGACTTGGTTGTTATTCTTTTCTTTTTGTTTTTTTTTTGGTTTTGTTGTTGCGTTGGTGTTGTGTGTAAAGCCGGCGCCCGAACAACAGAGGTTAGACGATGCCATCGGCTTTCTTCGCGACCATGCCGAGGTGAGGATTGCCGATTTTCATTTGTTTTTTTACTCTTAATTCGATTTCACCTCATTCATCACTTGTAACTATTTTAATTATTATTTCAATTAAAATTATTATATCTGATTTTGCCATTATATTTTTGTAACATGACTAACATTCATGCACAAGGCATTATCAATTTGCTTTTTATTAAAAAAATTTTTATTAATTAATTAATTAATTAATTAATTTAACTACCTAATTGTAATGTAATAAAACAAACTCAACAAACTTAATACGGAGCCAGCGTAATCGAGACGATTTTTGGGTATTCTGTTGGTACAGGGATCCCGGATGGAGGAACGGTTAGACGACGCGATCAACGTCCTTAGAAATCACGCCGAGAGTCAGCTCGGGCTTCATCTAGGTCCCGTGGGTCCCCATGGCGGTCTTTATTCTCATACATCTCCATCGCAGCTGGATCACCTGGTGAGTTTTATCTATTTTTTAATTACCTTATTATTGATCACCTGAACTAACACTTTTATTAAAAATTTCAGGCGAGTCCTCATCCAGCAGTAACGGTAGCACAACCTCAAGGAACATATCCCGGACTCGCTCCTACGCCAGATACCGACGGTTCGATAAAAATCGAGAGGTTACCTGTCTCCAATGCAAGTAAGTACTCGTCAGAGGATAAATTATTGTTTTTAGACAGTATCTTGAGAACTATTGACATTTTTAAAGATATAAGCTCATCCTGATGTTACACTCATCAAGACCTTTTATTTGAGTACCCACATCAATTTTTTCACATATTTATATATTCATATATATATCTTATATATGTTATATATATATATGTTTATATGAAAAATATATCAAAAATGCATGTGGGTACTCAAATGAAAGCTCTTGATGAGTGTAACATCGAAATGAGCTTATATCTTTAAAAATGGCAATAGTTAAAAAAGTACAAGGCATTTTCACAAATATCTTGTTAACCATTGACATTTTTAAAGATATAAGCTCATCCTGATGTTATGCTCATCAAGACCTTTCATTTAAGTACTCACATCAATTTTTTATATATTTCATATATTTATATATATTATATATATGTATATATGAAAAATATATGAAAAATTGATGTGGGTACTCAAATGAAAGCTCTTGATGAGTATAACATTGGGATGAGTTTATATTTCAAAAAATGTTAATATTTAAGAGAGTACAGTGCAATTTAATTCAATTCAGTATTTAACCAAGCAAAATTTTATTTATTAATTAAAAAATTATTGTTTTTTTTTTTTCAATTTAAAAAAATGATTTGCTGTTACACGGAACTAGAATCAAATGTCCTTTTGCAATAATTAGCTAACGCAGGAACAAAGGAGAAAAGTGAAGGATTGGATGAAAAAGCGAGTCAATTACGAGCAGGAAGAGCGTTCCTGATATAGTTATATCTCCTTAAAAGATACAACTGTAGTGTATGTAAAACGAGAGATAGATAAATCAGAGCTTGGTATATTGTCCCTTGGTAAAAGGGTTACAGCAAAGTGCTCCGGATGCCATCGTCCTTAAATGGGCTTTTAAATGCTTAAATACGGATATTTAAGATTTAAAACACGAGACGTAAGACATTAAACATTTTGAAAATTCACCAGGAGTTAAATTCTGCTGTTAAGTATATAATAGTAAGAGATTAATCCGAGGATTCTCTAGTTCGATATGCGTTTGTTGGATATGCCGATTCAACTACTAGCTAGAGTAGATAATAAAGGCCAATGGAATGCTTACACGATAACGGTTTGTCGTGTGATTTATTTAATATTGCCTTATCGGGCGAGCGCTACACAGAACACCTGGGTGCTGTTATTTTTTTATCCATGGGAAAAACGTATTGTTCAATGATGCGACTAGGAATTTTATTCAAAGTTATTGTCATTCCAAGATTCACTATTCTTTAGAGAAAGTCTTTTAATATTTATTAATAAAGTTTAACCAGTGTTGCCAGAAAAATTTTAATTTTTTAAGTAAATAAATAAAATTTTGCTTTATTAAATAATGACTTTTGTTAAATTACACTGTACTTTCTTAAATATTGACATTTTTAAAAATATAAGCTCATTCTGATGTTACACTCATCAAGAGCTTTCATTTGAGTACCCACATGCATTTTTCATATATTTTTCATATATACATATATATAATATATATTTTAAAGATATAAGCTCATTCCAATGTTATACTCATCAAGAGCTTTCATTTGAGTACACACATGCATTTTTGATATATTTTTCATATATACATATATAAAATATATATAAATATATGAAAAATTGATATGGGTACTCAAATGAAAGGTCT